TGTGAAGACCATACATGTCATGCCGAGTTAGTTTCTTATTCCTAAGATATTCTAGAAATTTATCATGTCGAAGCTCTTTTTTGATAATATATTTTTTTACAGTTTTTGCCTTTTGGATACTATGCTTCTTTTTAGAGTCTTTAGAATCTGGGTCATCAGGAGCTTTAGAATCATATCCTGCTAGAAGGACTGAGTATATCTTTGGCTTTAAACATACCATTTCCCCTATTGGTATGCACTTTGTCTTATTCTTCATTAAAAATAAATTACCTAAATAGTTAAGATCAAAAATGTTTGGCCTTTCTGCTTGATCTTTATATATGTCTTTAGTTTCTATCTATATGATAAGTGAGTCTGTGTCTGTATAAAGTAAACAGGCTTTATCTCCATAGTGAGGCTTTATGTAACTATACCAAAAGTTAAACATCATGGTCTTGCTAATATCAAGAATTGCCTGCTCTACATAGATTGGTTTATTTAATATTACTATGCTCTTTAACATATGGATTGCTATAATATCTTCTTCAAATTGCTTGAAGCCTACAAATAATGGTAAACTTACTAATAGCCTAATTTTTTTATCTTCTTCTGTTTGGAGTAATTCTACTTTTATATGTTTACGAACATTCTCTATCTGCTTACCGAAGACTACATTATTTTTTAGCTTATAATACATGACTCCAAACTTATTCTTATTTGCTTTAGCTATTTTGCATTTACGAATATTTTCCTCAATATATTCCTTCATCCATGGAGACTGCCTAAACTTGAGAGCACTATGAATCTTTGTAATCTTTATTCTGAACTTCATATATATCTGGAGAGTTTAATAATGAACTATATAATTCTTCTTAGTAAAAAGTGTTTGAACTAGCTTTTCTCCAGATACATATTTTTCTTCTCCAACATTTTTATCATGTACTAATATTTTATTGTATAGACTAAGCCAGTTTTTTGATATTATCTGCTTTTCTGATACTAAAAGATAATCTGCAAAGTAATCATACAAGTGCATCAGAACTTCTAAATCAACTTCAAGTATATAGCCTATTTCTACATCTGGTGCAATACTTTGGATATCAGGTACTTCCTCTGGACTTATCTTATCTAGAATTCTGTAGACATGTATTGGGTCATTGCATCT